CTCCCTCTCTCTCTCTCTCCCTCTCTCTCCCCCTCCCTCTCCCTCTCCCCCCCTCCCTCCTTCCCTCTCCTCTATCTCATAATTTAAAAAACGACACTTTAAAATCAAACAAACCCTTACCTCAAAACTCCTCGCACAAGCACCGGAATCCCTTAGCTCTCCTAAATTGGTTGAGAATTCTCCGATGAAATCATGCCTGAAAGTTACAAAAACCCTGAGTGTCAGAACGTAGACAACAGACTTTCCTCTCTCATCACCAACTGTTCTGCGATACCCTTGTGTTTTTCCTATATTCTTAAACTGTCGATAGCTGTCCCTATCCAACATGCCACAGTCAGTCATATTCACAACAAGTCGACCTCACTTGCTACAAAACTTTTCTGCTAACCCATTCATAGACTGTGGGGGTATATTCAATTTCTCCACTCTAGAAAATGACCATAACTCAGACCCTGTCCGCAGCAGCCACCTGTCTACAACGGTCACTTTTCTCTTTGATCTTGAGAGCCTGTTATGGACAAGTTCAACTGTTTATAAAAAAATAATTCAAGGCGAGAGAGATTTCTTAAACTTACCCTCCGTCAGAGTCCCAGTCATAACACTCTACTTTCACAGTTCTGTGGAAGGTATCGAAATAAACTGCCGTTATAGAATGTTGAGAGAAACTCTCTAGTTTTTCATAATAACAGAGCACAAGTATTGGTGACGTAAAATATATATAAAATCATCTGTCACCATAAATAATAGATAGATGAATAAAATAAAAGATTACACTTTATCGATTCCATGGGGAAATTTGGGTTACAATGGCAAACATACATACATACATACATATTTTAATACATACATACATAAATACATATGTGTCACGACGCAGCGGAATCAGATGCTCGTCAATTTTTTAGCAAATGGAGTTATTGGTATCATCTTAAAGGTTGTTCATTTGTCTTGATTTCAGTGAAAAAAATATCCATTTATCTTGAATAGAAATCAAGATATTTACGATTGAAGAAGGTGAGGTCACCTGGTTTCAGAGGTAAAATTAGCGAGAAAATGGCCGCATAAGTTTGGTGACTTCCATAGCTTAAGAGTCCTTTCAAATTAAAATTTGTTGTGCCTTTAACCAACGTTTTTCAGTAAAAACCACACATGAAAGTGTTTTTGAATGGACATACAAGGTGTGAGAAAAAAAACAAAAATTAGAAAAAAATTTCCAAACTGACAGAAAAATGCCGATTTTTCGGATTTCATTATTTAGACGAGCACCTGATTTCCCCACAATGCCTCACATATTTTAATACATACATACATAATTGCATATGGATGAAAGATGAGGGGGGGCACTAAAACTCCTCACGTAACTTTAATTCCGGTATCCTCAGATGAAGGCTGAACTCAGGGTCACCAACACAGAACCATTTACTTGAAGTAAGAGTTTTATGGTACTTACAACATAAATAAGTCATATAAGCACTGAAGATTAGAGGTATAAATGGAAAGTAACATACAAAGAAAAGAAGGAAGAGAGATAAGGACGGTGAATATTCGATAGGAAAGAAGAAGCAAACCACACCAGAGCACCCAGCAACCACCCACACACAGCACGGTAACATGATGCACACCTACAAAAGAATTTCAAAGGTGAGAGATCTGTTCATACCATCAACATGAAATTATTTTAAAAGTTGACCTTCAGCATATATTTAACCACTTCATCTCAAAAGCCCTTCAATTTGCAGTGTCCACGGACTCTCAAGCTTTGGAGATCAACAAACTTTGGCAGCCACTTTCTCGCTAATTTTACCTCTGAAAGCATGCGACTCCCACCTCTTTCAATCGCAAATATCTAGACTTTTATTTTTAAAAAGATGTGTATTTTTTCATTGAAAGATAGTCAAATGAACAAGCTTGGAGTTTATACCAATAACTCCACATTCCCAAAAATTGACCAGCACCTGATTCTAGCACATCATGACACAACTGCAGACAAACATACCACAATTCATAAAATCAAAATACTACAAAGAAGAAAAAGAAGAAGTGAAAAAGCTAGAGAGTGTACCTGTTATTGTCTCCATTACACAGCAGACGCACGGACATGCAAAATGGCTGCCATGTAGGATTCAATGTGTTTTTCACCACTTCTGTCTTGTGGACCAAAGTGTACCTGAAATTACATACAAAGAACTCGGCGGCTAACTTGTCAGCTCTGGCGG